GAAAACACACAAAAAACGTTGAACTTTTTTCGAATTAATCTCGAACAAATGCAAAAAAAATCGCGATTTTTCTGAATAGAAAACAAATTGTAAAAAATTTTAATCGAGTCTGCAATGTTTTAATGTCTTTTTTTCATGTTAAAAGTTTCAATCTTTCGTTAAACACGGGAAACTATTTTTTCAGAACTTTACACTTAATAAAATCAATTTTTTTTATTTATAAACTGAATCGACGATAGAAAAATTGCAATATAAAATATTCTGCCTTTTATTTGCTTCACAATTTCATTTTGGAAAATACAAACTACGCGGCTACAAAATTTGCGTCTAAACTAATCGAATGGTTGTGAGAGACTGAAGTGAGTGAAGGAATGCGAGTTATCGTTGTGTGTTCTCGTTGCGAGAATTTGGTCGTGCTTTTTCATTGGTCCATTGCGACGCGCTTTCCCCTTTTTCATACATGCGAAACATTGGCGTTCGTTTATCGTGCTTGCTTTAAAGCTGTACGCTTATGGGAGAAGGAGAAGAGGCAAGAGATTAGCGGAAGACGATCACGACATGCAACGCGCTTCTGTAATAGTGTGACGTCATGCTTCCTTATACGCTTATAAAGGAATTCAGCGAATAAATGTATGTATCGTATGCTATTTTGAGGAGAAAACAATGAAGCTTGTATGCCATATTTATGTATGCGTGCTGTATATTTGCGGCGAAATAAACGACGATACACAAGACAGTGTTTGTTTTATCTCACTCGCTCGCTCAACTTTTCTTCTCCTTATTTTACGCTCTCGCCTATGTAATGAAGAGACTATGTATGAACGGCAAAACGTTAAAGTGAAATATTCATGTATATGTGCAAAACGCGCTTTGATCGCATACGAATTAAGCGGCCAATGTATTTTTTGCACTCCGTTCACGCTTCGTCGATGTATAGGTGGATATATTTCGCGGCGAAGCAAGACAACACATTCTCACTAATACACGTTTATGATTTTGAAGGCATCGCTGTTTGTTCAACAACGTTAGAAATCGCCATGTGATCTGAACGCCTTGAAATGCCCATACATGTTATTCTCCACGCTTTTTCAATGCAAAAAAACAACATGTTTTGCTGCATTTTTCTCATGAATTTACAGACGATAATAGAACCTTAAAAAAATCCAATTTACTTAAAAAGTCTCTCTGTTTTCGCCAATTTTTCGGAATCTACTTTGATTAATCAAGACTTCTCAGACTGACAATATTTTTTTGATCAAAAGTAGAAATAAAACAAAATGAGTAAGAAAGAGCCGTGAATGAGTAAAGTTTGTTTTTTGTTTTCTCTTCAAATTCATTGCAAATGGGGTATAGGTGTTTTCACATTTAAAACGGCTTCAATCTATTTTTTTTTTTTGACATAATCGTCAAATCCAATTAAATTGTTTTTCATTCAAGTTTGCTAGCAATTTGTTTACTTGACAAAATAAAGCGAAGTAGCGCCAATACATAAATTATGCAAAGCAAGTAAATGAATGACGCTCAAAAGGTTTGAATGAATTAAAAGTAATTTGCCTGCAATTTTCTCAATTCAATTGACATTTCTGTTTCACTAAAAAGCTAATAACGTCTACGGGCTAACTGATAAAGTGTATCATCGTCGACATAATAGCATCAATTAGGTGCTGGTAAACTGTATAGAAAGTAGCAACTAACTAGTTAGCAATGGATGAGGTCATCGGAATGATTACTCACATTATTTCGATCAAAGGCTCAAATATTGGTTTGTGACTTCAAAGAATCCAAACGTCAACATTCAATTTGTGTGATTGTTTTCCTTGTAGATATTTCGATATTTTCAGCCGAAATAGCACCGTCAATTTCTTCACACTAATTGGAAATACCAAATCTATTTTTCAACTCTAATTGGATCCAAACACTTTGTGTATCTTCAAAACAGTTCATTTTCATTGCATTTTAAATCAGCTTCGAATTATGAAAATTGTTTTTATTTTTCAATGTTAGCACAATTGACAAGAATGGGCATTTAAAACCAAGTGTGTTCGTTGTATAAAAGATACGCACCATGCATTATTTTTCATCAGTTTACAAGTGAAAGAACATGACTTTGGTTTGTTGTGAACGAAATGTTACAAATTGCTGTTATGAAACGCCAATTGACCATAATGGCTATAATGCCAATGGCAAAAGAGAGTTTGCCATCAATGTTTCGCGAATTGCACGCGTTTCTTAATTGGGTGCACATCAGTTTCGTTTTCACAGTGTTGCTCGCCTATTTTACGGCTCCGCTCTATTTTCTATTGTTCAAAGCAAGCACATTTATCGAATACACCGAAGTAACGTTTATGGTGGCTGTTACGCTATTGAAAGTATTGTTGTATGCAATTTTGATTTGGAAGCGATTCGAACTATTGGACTTATTGAATGAAATAGAGAACACCATTGAATCGAGTATGTTTGAATTTTTTCAGTAGAAATAGGTCACTCTCTTGTATGGGATATAAACTTAATAAATCCGGCCGTTCCTTTTTAAACTGACATCACTTTTGCTAATCACCGCTGTATTCGTAGGAAGCAACGTTCCAATGATTCGAACACTTTATTCGATGGAAAATGAAAAATCGCAAAAATTCGTCCAAAAATTGTGGAACACATTTTTTGTCTACGTACAATGTTTCATAGTTCCAAAAGTGTTGGGATCGTTCATTGCATATTTTATGTCGGACTTTTCCAACGAATCATTTGAACTGGTTTTTACCGCAACGTATGTATTTTTGATCATTTTTTTTGTTCGTTCGCTCATGAATTGGAGTGTATTTAGGTATCCATGGAATTGGACAACACCAATGGGCTATTTGGCAGTGGCATGTGTTCAATACGCTTGTGCCAATGTTGGAATTTTATTCATGGCTTGCACTTTATGTTTTTACATTGGATTTTGTAAAGCATTTGGCGCATTTATTTTGAACATCAAAAAATGCCTCGCCGATTTGAATGGCCAAATTGCTGGCAAACGACATACATTTACAGCTGAAGAACGCGCTGAAATTATCGAAACGCTTTACGACATCATTCAATTCCACTCGGATTCAACGCAGTTGAGTTTCTTACTTTCTTTTTTCGACAAAAGTCTTCTGATCTATAATTTTTTCTCCTGATCTTTAATCTACCCATAGGTTTACAGAACGATTTTGCAGTTCATTTGGTTGGATAATAACCGTTCTATTTGGGCTATCAACTACATTTCTATGTACGGCTTTGTTGGGACTAAATATGGTAGGTTTTTTGATATTATTTGTTGAAAATGTCATAGTCACAGCGCCGTTTAAATTAGGCCGTATCCATGGGACATTGGTTGGATGTTTTTCGTTTGCTGGTCAGTCTTTCATTGGGAATGATTTATGTGGTTGTCCTGTGCCTTTTTGGTGATGATTTGACTTATGGATTCGATGAAATTTACCATTCGATAGACGCGTTTTCTTATTACGAATTGCCAGTGGATATCCAAAAATGTCTGCCGATGATGATTGCCATTGGTCAAAAATCGATGCATATGAAAGGACACATGAATATTAAATGCAATCGACCATTTCTCAAACAGGTTCGAATCTTGCCGGTTTTTCAATTGAAATCATAAAAAACATTTTGCAAAAAGTGACTTTTTTTACATAGATCACCAATGCGGCGTTTTCTTACTTTACCATGCTACAGAAATTCAGCTAAAAAAGTCAACATGGCAAACTTGCATGAGTTGATGCATATTAATAGAGTTGGAAAAGCATATTTGAAAAACGAAGCGTTTGGATGTGGATTATTTAGATTGTCACATGAAATTATCGTACATTTGTTAAATCAGTTTTTATCATCGGTTGCGTCGTTTTTCACAACAACGCCATTAAGCGACTACACTTTGTATTCAGTATTTTTGGAAATTCGTGTATAAAAAATTGTCGAAAGTTGTTCTAATTTCAAAAAAAAAAAAAATGCTAGACTATACGCAAAAACACACGAAGACGTATATATACATTGGCCGATTTTTCGGTTGAAATACATACTTTAAGTAGAGGTATAAAACTTTTAGCAATTATCATCATGATAATTTTTCATTTTCATAGAAATTTTATACGAGGGTAAAAGTCTTTTACTAAAAGAGTCCTCTCTCTACTGCTACCTGCTAGTTCTTTCATCCATTTTTCCTTTAAAGAAGAGTAGTTTAAATCGAGACATAAGAAAAGAATATTTATTTTTCAATTTGAACATAAATCGCATAGGTCAAACACAACATCAACTATGTAGCATTGCAAGAAAATATCTCAAAGAACCAGGCACTCAAATCCACTGTCAAACGTACGTATGCTATATTCACAGCTATAGCCTATTGTATACAATGTTATTGTTGTTGTATAAAAGTGACAGTGTAGCTTTTCTTTCATTCTTTTTGTCTGGACCACCTTCCTTTCTGCATAACAGTTTGTAGTTTTGATTAAACTTCATCAGTTTTTACCTGTATTTCTCAATCTTTATGTCGTTTACATTCTTCGGTTCTAGTGACTTGAGAAAAGAGCTCATTTTCTTTAATTATATCTTTTTAACCACTAATTTGGGACAAAAGACTTTTGTGCTGTAATCACTCTAAATTAGTAAAATCAATTACTTAAAATAAGATTTCTGTGCCAAAATCGAATTTTACCCACGAATGTGGGCTTTTTATTTAGAACATTTTGTGTGTTGTTAGATTACAATATTTTTCGTGAAAAAAAAAGATTTTCTGACACATTTAAATACGGATGACATTAATCTGCATACAAATATTTTCTAGGGTTTTTGAACACGAGGAATTCGCAAAAATCGACAATTGTGATGAGACACACAGTAAATGTATGGTATCACACTGGAATATTCTATTTTTAAGCATTTTCATTTATTTCATATACAAAATTATTATAAAAAAATCTACGCATTAAAGCTACAGAGAATTCAGTTAATGAATTAACATAAATTTACTCATTTTCTAAATTTAAAAGTCGTGTGAATCGTGTCGAACCGCTGTTGAAATCCCGAAGTGTTGTCGCATTGGCAATACTGTACAAAACTGAAAATCCTTTCCGTCTGTCGGAGTCATCGGTTTCAAATCGAATCTTCAACCGTCTTGATGTCACTACTTCAATTCGTATGTCATTTCCGCAATATCTACCATACAAATTCCACTCTTGGTTCTTTTGCATCTCGAACAATTCAACGTAGTCGAATGAGCATGTCCTATCCTTTTCCACGTCAAATTCCATGAATTTCAAATGGATTTTCAAGCCCGGTTGATTTTTACTTATAATCCATTCGCAGCTCGTATTATTATCATAAAAGGTATCACCAAATCGAGCATGTGAATAGATATATTTGATGGTTGATGTTGCGTCAAAATGTCCTCCGCATGCTGTCGAATGTCTCACCACGAACCCTTTCCGTTGTGCACTGGCGTCCGTTTTGAATGCCATAAAGAGATCGTCCGATGGAGATCGAAGTGGTTTTACCGGTGGTAGTCGTAGTGAATTCGAATTTGTCATCGATCCACAATAGGTGCCCAGTGTAAATTTGTCGGTGGACACAAACTTTTGCATTAATGGATCCACATTAACATATACTGTCACAAAATCGTTTGTGCATTCATCATAATCGGCTTCCAGATCGAATTGTTGGAATTTCAGAATTGGTCGATGTCCGTGAATCGCTTTAAAATGCCAAATACAATCCATATTTTTGAAATAGTGTTGCGGATAGTTTGGACTCTGAATTATACCATCTGGTGCTGTAATTTCGTATCGACAACCGCCTGGAATACAATCACGTCGATTGTCGTGCAAAGTGTAACCACTGTTACATGAACATTCAATGGCATCCCAAGTATTTCGGCAAATATGTTTGCATCCACCATTATTTGTTGCACATCGATCAATGTTTGTTGTAAAAATGGCGAAAAATCCCGTTTTTTGCACATTGTTATCGGATTTAAATGTGATGCGCATGATATTCGTTGTGGATGTGATAGACGGAGGATGCAGTTCACTACAAAAGGTTCCTTGTCGCACAAAATGACCATCCGGGTATTTGGATGAAATTTCAACTGAATCATATTCACATTCTTCTTGGATTAGATGACTCCCCTCCAAATTGAAATGCGTAAAATTCAACGTAATTCGATTTGGTTCATGCGACATAATTTCCCAAACACATTCTTCATTTGCTGGATATGAATGGGGAAACAATGGTGATTGAATGGTACCATTTGATGTTGTAATCACACCGCCACAATTTACTTCGCACGTTTTTTCATCCGATCGTAATTTAAAGCCCAATCGACAAGCACACGTGTAACCGTCCAATGTGTTGATACAATTTTGTTCGCAACCATGATCTTTTAGTGTGCATTCATCAATCTCCTGGTATAATTCAGCCGAAAATCCACGTCCGGTCGTCGAATCATCGGACACAAATCGAATGTACATTTTATTCGACGTTGATGCCAATATTGGTGGCAATGAATTTCCACAATATTTTCCAATTAAACGTGATTTGACGTTGTCACCATCACGTACTTCAATGAAATCATTGCGGCAATTTGAATCCATTTCCAAATCGAATGAATTGAAATCCATGGCAATTTGGTAAGTTGGCGGCACCGTGATACGCCAAATACATTCCTTATTTGGCAGATACATTTGTGGATAATTCGGTGATTCAATTTTATGGCCATTGGAAATTGTCAGATCACCACCACAAATTGCCTCATATTTTGCAGCAAAGCCACGATGCTTAGTATGTTGGGACACGTAATTGATTATCATTCGATTTCCCGTTGACATTATTACTTGTTCAATATTTTTTCCACAAAATCGACCAAGTAACGGTGATTTATTCCAATAACCATCGAAAATCTCCAAATAGTCAGTTTTGCAGTCGTTGGACGGGAACATTTCAAAATCGGTGATATTTAAACGAATTCGTTCACCATGCGTCACTGAAATCCGCCATTCACATCGGTAGTCTTTGCCGGAGCTTGACTGATGATAATTCGGCGATGTAAATGTCGCCTGCGGACCAAGGTATGTTTCACCACAAGCCGGACATTTATACAGTTTATTCGTTTGCCGAATATCACCTTCACTCAAACGATCGCGTTGGCCAATGTACGGTCGTTGTCCATTTTTTCCTCGTTTCGGTTGTATTGTCCATATTTCTGAATCATACTTACGTATTCGATATGCATTGTGTGTATAATGCATAATTGAACCATAATCGTATGGCTCACCCAACGAATCGACTTCGGCCGAAGTTAATTTGCGAAAATTGTGCTCGTGATCGGTGTGAATGTTTTCGCTTAAAATTTTAACATGATCATCACGATCGGGCCGCGTGTGTTCATGCCAAAAACCAAGAACATGCCCCAATTCGTGAACAATTATACCTTTTTCATGGCAATTTTTACCAATTGACACATTTTGACCGCCATTACCCTGCTTACCGACGGCCGAACAACAGCCACATTGCAACGATGTAAAGCGAATGAAATTATCATGGACGCTGGCATCACGCTCTACAAATTTGATGCACGTGAAATTTTCCCAGTGTTGCATTGCCTCGATAAATTCAGCCTTTTGATCGCCACTAAAACCAACATGTTCATCAATTACATATGGCACAACACCAAAATCCCAAATTCGTTCTTTCTCTGCCGTTGCAGCACGTTTTGTTCGCGGATAATTGTTAGATGGCCAATCTAATATTATGTCGTCTTCAAATATGAGCACTGCTTTCACACTTGCCATTAGAAATAAAAGGGATACAACAAAATATTTCGTTTTTGAACTGCACTTTTGATTGGTACCCATTTTATTTCACAGGTTGTTATCTGTAGTGATGTTAAACATGAAACGATAAATATTTTTAAATTAAAAAAAGTTAATGCACCTTCTATTAGGGCTGATGTTCTACGTGAAAATGTGTAAAACACCAAAATAATACTGTTCGGCTATCAAGACTGGTACCAATTTATCTCATCTAGCTAATGAATGTCAGTATAATTGTTTCATCTGCCTAATGACATAACTCTGAAGTTGCTGATGTACAACTATTTGAGATTTGCCTATCATCTACCTAATGAGTTTCGGTTCAATTTCGATCAAAGGTCTGAAGTTGGCGATCCAAGAGAGGGTGCGACATTCAATTTAATCGACCGTAAAAAAGGAGGGAAATAAAAGGGTTTTGGCATTAATTTGTGTCATCTGCCGAATCAATCTTTTATAATCTAAGAAAGTAAAAATAAAATCAATAGTTTGCTAGAGTATTCGCTAAAATTATGTTTTTTACTAGGGGGGAGACACCAAGAATAAATTCCGAATCCACTGTATAAATTACTAATCCAGCTATTCCACTAATCCAAAAACACAAATGTGAAATCGAAACTATTTTTGCTATTCCATACACTGTTTCGCTATTCCACGCGAATCCATTCACAGGCGTTGCTATTTCGTTGCTATTTCATTGCAATTTCTCGAGAGAGATACTTATGAGAAAAATTATTATTTTCTTCTTAAAGTGATATTTTTTTCAATTTGAATGATGAAAAAATGTAAAATGGGTGCTTTTTGCAAGGATATATTTGAAGTTTTGTTTGGATTTTATATGTTTTGTTGTAATTCTTTAAGCATTTAAAGATTATGTTTATTGAAATTCGACTGTAACTAATAATAGCGAAAGTGTTTGCAAAACACATTCTAACTGGTAATAACAAGAGACATCAAATGGACACATGTTTGTTTTCAGTAATATTTTTTCAAGTTAAAAATTGAGTTGTTGGTTGGATTAATCGCACTGATGTGTTCTTTTTCGTTGCCCCTACTTGTCGTTTGGCTTATCAACGGTTGTCATTAGTAATTTGTATGAAACCATTCGACAAATTCATCCATCAATACTGGCCACGCACATTCAGAGTCATAATTACACATGTCGTCATCGATCTCGATTGCGAATTCTAACAACAAATTCCACACGTCCTTTTGAATCGGGCGACTATAATTTTTCTACAATTGAAAATGGTGGGAAAAGAAAGAAGACGAAAAAATCATTAGAAAAGGGTTGAAGATAGAGTAAAGAGGATGATGATATCAGGTAGAAATTGGATTATTGGATTATTGGATTAAACGGGGAGTTATTCACTTCGATGCTCAAGTTTCGTAACTAATTGCATGACGACCCGACTTGTGCTGTCACTCGATTGCTTGGAGAATGCTTCCCACGGTGTGGCCCACTTTATAGCAGCCATGTAACTAGCCTCCGTACAGGGCCAGTGACCAGGGCTTTCTTCTCAAGTCAATTGTCGTGACAGTCACAAGTATTCCATTCATTCCTAGATGGCGTTGGGCTCTTCTTATTTCAATGGAGGAATGCACATATCGCTGGTTTACCGGTATATTCACCAGAGATGTCGCACTACCTTTTTACGGTTGACGTATTGGATATTTGACATATCCAAGACACCAACCTAACGTAAAGGCACTCCATTTTACGTGTGTCTATGCTGAACCCATTATTCTTTGTGCACACACACGGGACCGACGGCTTTAAGTGCCCTCCGAAGCACTCCACTAGCCCGAAACCCGGCCAAATCTATTCCGCATAAAACCACTGATAATTCCTGAGCGAATCACGGTGGAAAAATACCGGACCAAATTTGACCGAGAATCGAACTCGTGTCCTCACGCTCACAAACCTGGCACGCTAACCACTAGTCTATGGCTGAGTTAACATCAGGTAGAAAACAAGTGTGATCAACTTACCGTCAAGAATTCGCACCATTGTTCAAGAAATTTAAATTGACCTGAAATTCAAAGAAGAAGAGACCATATTCAGTAAAAAAATGTTCATAAAATGAGAGATTCCATATGAACTTTAGACGATGCGTTACGAAATTACCTCTGAGCAAAATGTTCCAGTATGTGATGGCCGTTTCCAGATCCATGCCTTTTTGTGTACCGTCTTTTGCATAGTTGAATGTAAAATCATAGAAATCCTTGAATTTTGTCGGTAGACGTAACTCATTTTCCAGTGCTAGTAGTTTCGATCTTAAACGATCTATACTGTCAACGTCCAATTCAATAAAACCTTTAATAAATTCCTTTTTTGTGAATTCACATTGATTTTCGGCACGACATTTCCATGCAAAGATCAAAACCAATTTCGATGTCGGATCGAGTTGTAAATCTTCCAAAAGTCGACATACACCATCGACTGAGATTTTTGTTGGATTATGAGGATCTTCGTATCGTCGAAATAGCTGTTCATGTTGCATTTTTGACGTGCTCTGTGTGCGAGAGAAAAAAAGACAATTTTTTTGTGTGAAAAAAAAAACATAACGAAAATGATATTTTGGTTGCGATCGATTTTAAGTGATTAGTGCGTGTGGTTTAATTTAAGCTAAATTTGAACACATATTTTATAATTGCCCATGATTTTTTCTTTACAATCCTTTTTGCGAAATTATTTCCCGATCAAACACATTCCACAATGTTTTTTTCGATAACTTTTTTAGAATTTTGAGCGACTTACCATATTTATTAAATAATTTATGTCTTGAAATTCACAAAGCTGAGAACGCACAAAATTTTCTGATGACTTCGATGAGTTTTAATGCTTACACTTTCGCTGCTGATGCTCTACTATTTGCAAATAAGTACAGCCCCAAAATAATACGGCTCGGTCATCATTTGTCTCATCTACCTAATGAGTTTCAGTTTAGTTTCGGTTCAATTTCGTTTAGTCGCATAGCCCTGAAGTTGGCGATCAAAGGAGGAGGCATTTTTAATTCCATTCAGAGAAAATTCACTCATAGTGTGTTTCATTCTTCTCGTGTCAAAATAATTGGGAGTTTTTCTTTGTTCTGAAGTCACTGTAATTATAACATTAATTTAACCCTCTAGTGTATAGCCCTGCCTTTAGGCATGGTGTATAAATTATTGTCTAAAATATATAATTTAAAAAAAAAGATTTTATTTATGAATTGAAATACATTCAGTAGGGTTCAGGCTTTCATTTTCCGGTCATTTGACAACTGGATGTAAATCGGTTGTTTAATTATAAACACGGTTGTACTCGAAAACAGAAATTTGACAAAAAAAATTATCATTTTCTTTGTTTATAGCAGTTTTACTGCAGTTTAAACAATGGTTTTGATTGTTCTCGAATTTTTTCAATAGCATTTTTTGAGAAAACCATGCGATTTTTTGAATTTCGATTATTTTTTTAAGGAATTATAAACCAAAACAATCATAGAAAAATAAGTCTCATGTCGAAAAAAAATTACTTTTTTTTTGCTTTTACCAAAAATAAATCTTGAAATTGATATTCGGTGTGACAACAGAAATTCGTAAAGTAAAACAATTGTTTGAGGTAAGTTTTCACAGTTTCAATACTACATACATTTTAAATTTGCAAAGCTTTCGCCAATTTTAAAATCGTTTCATTTACAAGTGTATCAAAACAAATTCTGTATGATATTTCTGTGTGATATTTGTATAAATTCAATTTTACCTAGCGGTAAAAAGAGAAATAAACCGCACTGATTAGATGTTATGGGTACTGTTTGTCTCTCTTTGTTTTCTTTGTATTGGTAATAATTTGTGTCATGAGCCTAATCAGTTTCGGTTCAAAAGGAACAGCATGTGAAGTAAACGATCAAAGAGTGGGGTTACTTTCATTTTGAGAAAATGTGAAGACACTTTTCGATCTCTTTACAATATACTTAGAACTTTAGTTGAATATCGTGCCTCGTGCTGAATACACATACTCTGCCTACCAAGTGCATTTTTTCAAAAACTCATTTTCACATTGAACTGTATCCGGAATCAAAAAATAAAATAAAATTAAACTATTTCATGCTCTGAATATTGAGAAAATTAATTAACTGTGAAAATCCACGGCTGTGTAAAACATCTACGGCTAGCTTAACAGAAATAAGAAGTGCCAACAGGAAAGAGAAGGAATCGAATCGAGAGTTTCTACGTGCTTTTCAAAGCTTCAATTATGTGACGCCGGAAATTCGTGGAAAAAAGTGGTAAAACTTTTTGAGGT